CTTCTGACCTCTGCCTCCTGAGTAGCCCACATTACAGTTGTGAACATTTTTTCAGTGCTCTAGTAGTCTCGAATACCTGGGATTCCTGCATTCTGGTGGTTTATAATTCTTCATGTGATATATTTCCTTGGCCCTGGCCCTGTTCCTGTGGATCATGCCTGGAATTCTAATTACTTGGAAGGTTGAGATTGGGAAGATGGTGTTTCTGTGCCAGCCAGGCAAATGTTCATGTCACACCATCTCCAAAACAACCAGAGCAAAATGAACTGGATTTGTTTTATTGTTGTGCTGGGTAGGAGTACACTGTGGCATTTACAGATGTTCTTACAGTATATCAAATATTGTCAAACTTGAATTTCACCCTCTCCACCATTCTAATGGACTGGATTTGTGTCTAATGCATTAGAGCACCTGCTTTGGAAGTGCAAAGTCTTGAGTGAAATCCCATTCCTTCAACCCAAAAGTCAAAAATAAAATATATACTTCATTTAAAAATTTTCTGAAACTGGTATTTTTTTGCTATTAGCAAGAGAACATGGTCCAATACAAGCAGGGTTCTATGTTCAGTCCATTCCAGGATGTATGAAGAAAACAACATTGTACTAAAACAAAATGACTTGGAATTTATAAAATGTTCCTGAATTTGAAGGGTGACATTTATTGGGAAGGGCCTTGCTTCTGAACTGAGCAATGAGTATACAGATAGGGAAAGTAGTAGACAGTGAAATGTAGGAGAATGAAGTTTATGAAACTCTACAGAGGCAATGGATTATGGAAGGTGTTTCAAGGACCCAGGAAATGGAAGGTAGCTACACCTGATCAGACTGGAGGCTATTTTTAGCCAGAAAGTAGAGAAGCAAGGAAAGAGAGAAGAATGTACTGTTGATAATTTTGAGATCTTCAAGGGAAGAGGGATGATGAAACAGAGGTTCGTGAACAATTCATGAGAAGCCAAAATCAAAAGGTTTGGTTTTGGCTGTCAGAGTGGCTCAAGTGCTAGAGCTCCCACCTAGCAAGCATGAGGCCCTGATTTCAAACCCCAGTATTTCAAAGAAAAAAACCTGAAAAATGAATGTTTTTTATTTTTTGAATATATTTTGGTTTGTGGTATATTTTTTAACATTGTGTTGCAAGAAAGAATGAAGTTTGTCATTTGAGGTAAATTGGTGGAAGTGCAGACCATCATTGCAAATGAAGTTAGGCTCAGAAGGCCAAAAATCACATTTTGTTTTATATGTGGTTTTTCATTTCTCTCATAGGATTGTACATGTAATATAAGTACAGCAGCATTATGAAAAACAGGTCACACTAAAGGTTGGTCACATGTGAGAGGGGGAGGGTAAAAAGAGGAAGTTAAGACAAGGAATATGGTTGATGTACTCTGTATACATGAATAAATATGGAATTTTAATTCTGTTGAAATCACCATAAGAAATTGACCAAGATAGGAAGAAGAAATGTAGAGGAGATGAACCAATTCAGTTTGTAATACATAGTACACATGCGTGGAAATGTCACAAGGAAACTCCCTCTATATCTATCTTAAATAAACTAAAGTCTTTTATTTTTTCTTTTAGAAAAGTAGAAAACAGGAGGGTGGCAAAAGTCCTCTCTCTCTGTGTGTGTGTGTGTGTGTGAGAGAGAGAGAGTTGGTATCAGTGGAAGTGGGCAGGATGTGGGGACAGGGTGTAGGTTAGTGAATGTAGTGCAAATATTGTGTACACAGGTATGTAAATGAGACCTGTTGAAACTTCCAGGAATCTGGGAAGGGGGAGACAAAGAAGAATGATGGAAGTGGTGAATTTACATATGATATATATAGTAGATTGTATGAATTTTGTTAAAGGCCATAATGTACCCATAGAACAACAATTAAAAAAAATTGTGCTTATGCCTGTAATCCTAGGTACTCAGAGTCAGAGATCAGGAGAATGATGGTTGAAAACCAGCCCCGGGAATATAATTTGTGACACCATATCTCAGAAAAATCTATAACAAAACGGGTTGGATGGATGGCTGAAGTGGTGGAGCAGTAAGAGCACCTGCTTAGTGTGCATAAGGCTCTGAGTTCAAATACCAGTGACACCAAAATAAAGTTGTGTTTGCTCTTTGTCCCAAGTTCTGAGATAGAGTTACTAAAACCCTTAGAATATCCTGACCAATAGGAGCATTTTTGTTTGTTTTTCCCTGGCTTCTTTTTGGTGGTTTCTGAATATATATGCTGTTGAGGTGATGCAGAGTACCACCTAAGCCAATTTCAAGATGAGGAATGGTGAGCAATGTTTTTTACACCTACAACGCCTAAAGTATGCACATTCATTTTCATGTAGTTTGAAATATATAAGTGTATTTTGAGTCTTCCCTTTCATACGTGTTATTTTAAAGTTGGTGTCAATCTTTCCTAGGAGGTTTTCCAACTCTGTTTCTGCTGTTGATTTGCAGTTCTGCTGCAGTGTGATTGTAAATCATGCCTACAATGATGTCTATCATTTTAGATTAGTTAAGGAGTACTTTTTTGTCATTCTGTTTGTTTTTCTCGAGACAGGGTTTTTATAAATAGCCCATTCTTACCCGGAAATCCTGATGCTTCTGCCATTGTTCCCAGTATTGAGTATATTTTAGATAGGAATGTGGTGTTGGGTCTGCATTGGTGAATACTGCATGTCATCTTGAGAATTATGTATAGTGTGCTGTTGGATAAAGTATTGTACAATGTCCCAATCACTAGAACTGTGGAAAACAATTAACCTCATTACAAAAATATATAAACTAATGAGAATTAGCACAGGAAGAAGCATTATTAAGGCAGTTAACCATGAAAACATTAAGAAGAATAAAGTAGAAAGAAAATAGCTGTGCATGATTAGAAACCTCCCATTTCAGTACTAAGGAGTTTTAGTTTGAGGCTGACCCAGAGAACATGGAGTGAGTTTCAGGATTGCTTAGGATACATAGCAAGTTTCTGCCCCAAAACTGCAGGAAATTCTTTTTTGTGAAACTCAAAAGCATTGCATTCACAGGGCAATTTCTAGATCAAATGTTTGAAAAGTATGAGCAACTAAGAGTTTTGTGAAAAATTTTAGTCATACTGGTTTACAGATGGAAGTACCTTTACTATGATCTTCATTTTTCTATATGGTTTAAATTAGGCAATCAAAATGTAAATTGATAAAACAGTTATCATTGAATTTGTGTAGAAAGTTAACCTTAGGCTCATTATACTCTTGGATTAAGTAAAGTTTGTAGGTTGGAAGTCAAATGAACTGAGTAATACAAAGAAACTAGAGTTGTCAGTAATGAGCAGAGATGTATACTGGAGTCATATCACATCAAGAAAACGTCAAAGTCAAGGTGTGACCAAAGGCTGAAGTGATGAATTGATATACAATGAAATTTCAGGTGGCATAGATAAACTGTCAAGAAAGTTGAATCAGTAATAACTTGTAGGGAATGCAATGCTGTTGCTGTAAAACATGATAAGCCAGAAAAATTCTCAAAAATAGGATAAGATGTTTCAATGTTTTGTGAAGCATGGGGAAGGACAAGATAGACTCCTAGAAAGATTGTAATAAGAAGGGCTTAGTTTTTATGTTTATGATTTTCCTTCTGTGGGATCAACTATTTGAAACTCCAGACTTGATTTCCTGATGGGTTATGTAACTTAAAAGTTGTGGTGCATTTAATGAATGTATGTGGGTTGTCAATACCTTCCTAGTTTATGGGTGGAGGTTACACTTGAATGGTAGAAAGCTGAAACAAACACTGCAAAGAAAAAGAACTTTGGGCTTGCCTTTAGTGTATGATATGCATGGGTTTGGTGAATCATTAAGTGTCATCATACTGATAGAGATTTTTAAGAGTGTGAATGCATCTGTTTTAGTTAGTGCTAAGGCATTTTCACAATAGTCTATAGGATTAGATTCATAAACAAAACCAGCATCATTAATGTTGTAGGATTCAGTAGGATTCAGTAATGTTGATCCACTAACCAAGTCTACGAGTCAGCATTCTCTATGATGTTAACAGTGAATTCAATCGTTAATGTGATAAATGAAGAAAAGGGCTATTGGCTTCTGTAACTAATACTGGAATTAATACATTCAAGTACCTTTGTGTAGAAAATGATCTTTACTGTAATAACAAAATTCAGTAATTACAGCATCCAATGGAAGTGGGATGACCATACCAAGATTTATATGGTGTTATATAATGGGGTATGAATGATTGTCATAGTGGCACTAAGAAACATGGATATCCAATAAAAATCATTCAGTTAATTAATGTAAAAGGCCAGATTCTTCCTTTTTTGTTTTGTTTTTTTTGGTGTGTAAGAAATCAGGAAGAAGATTTCAAATGTTTTCTCTTGGTGCAATCACACAGGATGTGCTCCTTTCCCTAAGGGGGAAAAATTTAATGAGGTGTTAATGTAATCTGTCATATCAAGTTTTATTTGCTAGAGGGTGTGCATTTTGGGTTCTCATCCTATTGCCTCTCTCTGATGAGCATTGCAGAAATGCACAAATAATCACAGATTTCACAGGAGTTAATTCTTTATTTACAGTAGAGTATTTTGGGCATAAATTGCTGCAGAACTCTGTCCCTTTTTCACAGTCAAATTGTTGAAGTTCATCCCAAGAGCAGTTCCCAGATACCATTATTCATGGATCTGTTTCTTTTGTATTTAACTTATTATTCAGCCTCTGGACAACTGAAGACATTCTAAGTGGTAGGAATTTCTAAGAAGTCCTAGAATCATATTGTACAGTGCATAATTGTTGTGATCATGTACTTCTGTCAGTGTGACAAATAGTTCCAGTGAGATGTGGTAATTACTATGTGAGTGCCTGTAAGAACAGATGGATAAGGAAAGTGAGATACACGTGATACATGTAGTGAAAGTATGGAGAACATACCACCATGTCAATTTCTTATGAGGAGTGTTTCTGCCAACAGTGCTGTGACTTACACAAACTCTTGCAAATGTGTGTGTGACATTTTAGGAGCCACTGACCCTTGAGGATGTTGCAGTGAACTTCTCTGAGGAAGAGTGGACCTTTTTGGATCCTTCTCAAAAGAAACTCTACAGAGAAGTGATGCTGGAAACTTTCAGGAACCTGTCCTATATAGGTAAATGCACCATCATTACCTTATTCTGACTGTGAGCGGTTTTTGCTCATCAGTGTTGCTGCTTCACTTGGAGTATAAAAAGGGAACATTTTGGTAAATATATATCAAAATATACCATGAAAAGAGCTGGGTTTCCAAAAATCTTTCTTTGATGTTGATTAAACAATAATGATTTCTCTATGTCTATAACTTAGCAACTAAAGAGGAAAAACAAAACATTGAAGTGGACTGCAGAAATCTCAGAAGAAATATGAGGTAATTGTCATAAACAAGAGAAGCAGTGAATATTGTATGTTGTAGCGAGTGAGATAATTTTTAACACCAAGGAAGTAAAGCCAATATGTCCAACAGGAAATTGGATTAATCAGGGAATTTTTCTCTAAAACTGCAAAACTGACTTAGCATCCTAAGTTAGAAAATGCAAGATATGTTATATATATAACATGTATAATGTCCTGAAGGCACAGAGATACTTTCCAGTGAATGAATATTAAGAAAATACTCCATACAAAAACTTATTAATGATATAGTGTTGAGTTGCTACATGGTGTGGGTATCATGTATTTATGAAGTTAAGAGGATTTTCTTGTGTAGACTGGCACATGTTTCAACCTATCTCTTTATGTTACATATCATGTATTTAAAAATGAAACATATTTTTGATCCAGAGCATCTGAGTGAGTGCTGTAACTGTATTTGAATGTGGTAAATCAAATTTGGTGTTGTCAAATATCATAGTACTGTGACAGGACATATGAACACCACTATTTTGATAATGGCTGTCTTCGATACCTTCAACAAAACCTTTAATACATTTTGTTCTTAAATCCTATATGATACAACACCAATACTTCTCTTAGTAAAGCATTAATAGAATAACTATGGTAATCTCATTTTTAACAGAGTGGATGTGTTAGAGAGACTGTATGAACATAAAGAAGGTACTCAGAGTGAAGAGTCCTTTCAACAGCCTCCAGAGAATAGTGTAAACCATGAAATTCTTCTTAGACTAATACCATGCAGGTGCTATGCATGTAATTGTGAGAAAACTTTCACTGATCCCAAGTCTCTTTTTATCTGGGCAAATATACACAATGGAATGAAGGCCCATGGATGTACACCATGTGGGAAAGCCTTCAGTCAATCTCATACCCTTTGTATTCATGAAAGAACTCTTCCTGGAGACACATCCTATGGATGTAACCAATGTGGGAAAGCCTTCACTGAAGCAGGTACCCTTCAAACACATGAGAGAACTCACACTGGAGAGAAATCTTATGGATGTAAGCAATGTGAGAAAGTATACACTTGTTCTCGTAACCTTCAAATCCATGAAAGAACTCACACTGGAGAAAAACTATACGCATGTAAGCAATGTGGGAAAGCCTTCACTCTTACTACTTACCTTAAAAAACATGAAAGAACTCACACTGGAGAGAAACCTTATGGATGTAAGCAATGTGGGAAAGCCTATACTTGTTCTCGTAACCTTCAAAGCCATGAAAGAACTCACACTGGAGAGAAACCCTATGTGTGCAAACAGTGTGGGAAAGCCTTCATTGAAGCAACTCAACTTAAACTTCATGAAAGAATACACACTGGAGTGAAACCCTATGGTTGTGAGAAATGTGGAAAAGCCTTCATTCATGTTTCTAAGCTTAAAGTACATGAAAGAATACACACTGGAGAGAAACCCTATAGGTGCAATCAGTGTGGGAAAGCCTTCACTCAAGCTGGTATCCTTCAAACACACAAGAGAACTCACACAGGAGAGAAACCTTATGGATGTAAACAATGTGGGAAAGCCTACAGTTGTTCTCGGAGCCTTCAATGCCATGAAAGAACTCACACTGGAGAGAAGCCCTATGCATGTAAGCAATGTGGGAAAGCCTTCATTCAAGCAACTCAACTTAAAGTACATGAAAGAATACATACTGGAGAGAAACCCTATGGTTGTGAGAAATGTGGAAAAGCCTTCACTGATATCTCTAGGCTTAAAGTACACAAAAGAATACACAATGGGGAGAAACCCTATGGATGTAAGCAATGTGGGAAAGCCTTCACTCAAGCTGGTAACCTTCAAACACACGAGAGAACTCACACTGGAGAAAAGCCTTACATTTGTAAGCAATGTGGGAAAGCCTACAGTTCTTCCCGTAACCTTCAAAGACATGAAAGAACCCACAATGGAGAGTAGTCCTATGCATGTAAGCAATGTGGGAAACCTACACACTGGAGAGAAACCCTTGGACATTAATAATGTGGAAAAGCCTACACTCTAGAAATTAACGTTCAAGTACATGAAAGAACTCAAACTGGAAAGAAAACATATGGATTGAAACTATATGAGAAAGCTTTGGAAACTTCTACTAGCCTAACAAAAATGCAGAGTTCACACTGGTGAGTACCCTTATGGATATAATCATTGTTGGATAGATCTCCTTCATTCCAGTCTCCTTAAAAAAACATAAAGAACACATACTGGACTGTAAGACTGTGGATGTAAGCAATGAGGGGAAAATTTTAACTACCAGTGATGTTAAAATATTTGAATCAACTTGCACTGGACAAAAACTATATTTATGAAACCCAGGTGGGAAAATCTCTCATGCCACTACCATCAAATCATGAAAGTCCTCACACTGGAGTGAAAACCTATAGATGTTAGCCTAGTGAAGGTGACTGTATTTCAAGCAAATGATATAATTCACACAGTCACAAACATTTCATTTGAAAGCCACGTGAAAACATTTTCTCTTATCACCATTTTTGACAAAAGCATGAAAGATATCACAGTGTACAATAGCTCTATGTTTGGAAGCAGTGAGGGTAAGCCTTCGATAATTCCCATTTCCTTTTTGCAGCTTGAAGTAACTCTCTGTAACTCATGTGCATCCATATCTTATCAAAGTTCTATTAGCAACAGTGTGAAGTTTCTTTATATAGCTTGATTTCCTCCACAGATGTGATAGAAGATGGTAAGGAGAGAAAAGTTGACTGAGAACTTCATTCTTTCAAAGCAGGGACTGTAAGGATTGAGCCACACCTCCAATCCGTTTTCCTCTGTTGTTTTGGAGATTTGTTGTCATGAAGTATTGGATCAGGATGGCCTGTAACCACAATCCTCCTGATCTCAACTTCTGGAACAGCTAGAACTACAGGCATTAGCTAGAGGTGTATGGGGTCTGTTTCATTCTTAAAGACTTGAGGACTATGTGTTTCTAATTTTTGCTCTAAATATATCTTCCTGCTTCTTTTCCTGGTGCCTGCCTATAAGCCCAGCTGCATGGGAACCTGTAATACAAAGATTGCTGAAGCTGATAACAGTAGCAACACCATGTTTCAAAAAACAACATCTCAATAAAAGGAACTTAGCTTCTTTAAGTTGTTTTTAAAGCAATTGTACTCGAGTTTAATGGGTACTCTTAGGTAAGTTGATAAAATATTTTAATTTTGATTTAAAACTGTGTTGGAGTCGTGATTGATATCAATTGTGTTGCAGTTGTCTTGGTATAAATTTATACACTTGAGTAATTTTCATTAATGTACCATTGAAAAGTGGTAATTTTTGGTATTTTCCCAAAGTCCTCATATTGCAGGTTCTTTACATTTATTTGTTTATATTGTGTTTTATTTCAGAACACAAAACATGTTTTTACTGAGATATTGTGTTGATTTACTTTTTCATATACATGTCCTTGTTTTGACAGTACCCTGGCTTTACCGATGTAACTCATGTTTATTGGCAGTCAGTCAAACACTTTAGCCACTTTGGTAGCCCTTATTTTCTGGTTCCATATTGCTAAGATAAAGTGTCATGATCTATTTGTAGAGCTGGCATTGAGTGATGGTCCTCCTTATCTCAGCCTCTCAAGTATGTATGAGTTTATGTGTGAACCACAGGTGCATGAACATAGGTGTTCATCACCAACATTTCTGTAAGTGTATTTCACAGTCTTTACTGTTTTCAAACAACTTTATAGTAAAAAAAAATTCTACTAGTGGATTAATCCATCATCACAGATTAGGTCTAATTACAACTTAAAATTTATTAAATTGTGTCTCACATGGTAGAGAGCCTACTTAGTAAATGGACTAATCTGTGTTCACCCTTACTACTACCAGAAAAGAAAGGTTTAACCATATGTAACTAACAACAGGGGACAACAAGATAGACATTGTGCTTTGTGGACATTTAAAAAATGTTCCAAGCTACCATTATCAAAAGACTTCTAATTTGCAGGAGTTGTGGCAAATGTCTGTATTTCCAGTGGTTCGGAGACAGAAGTGGGAGTATTATTGGTTTGAGGTCAGAATGGGAAAAAACTTGGTGACATCCTATCTCAAAACACAGGCAGGTATGATTGTTTATGCATATTATTCCATATACATGGGGGAAGGGAGTTAACAGGATTGTGGTCCAAGGCATGTTTGAAAAAAGTGAAAGACCCAACCTGAAAAAGAAACTAAAGCAAATATGGCTGGGTGTGTTGCTAAAGTGGTAGAGTACCAGCCTATGATGCATGAGTCTCTGAATTCAAACCTCAGTACTTCCAAAGGAAAAAGAAAACAAACTTAAAAATCCTGTGTTGACAATGAAGCATATCTCCTCTGCAAAAAATAAAACTATCCCTCAAAATAATAAAATTGGTCTGTTGCTCATCTCAACTTGTACCCAGACATTGACCTTGAAGCATTAATACATCCTTTGATGTTTCCATGGGGAAAACAGAGTTGATTTGCTGAACTGTCACTCCACCCATATGAGAAACCCATAATGGGCACACATTGCGTACTTGGTCACAACATTTTCTGAATTGGGATCCAGTACATACTGCATCACTCACTCCATACAAAGCAGAATTAAAAGTCCATATATAAAGTGGTAATTTTTAAATCCTTGAATAATTTTAAAGGAATGCTGTATAGATGATTCTGCATAAAAGTAAGGAAAAGTTTCAGGTCACAAAGTGTCATGTCTGAATTAAAGATCACATGTAACATGCTTTAAAACTCAACCATTGCACAATGATGACTTAGTGTTATACTGTATAGAGAATCATGATCAACAATGCCTCATGTAGGATAGTTTGCAGGGCCCCCACTGCTTTCATGTACACCTGAGCAGCTGCAGACCAAAGATAAAGAGGCTCCTAATGTGGTCATGAATTTATCAATGAGGACATTCTCACCACTTACACACTGACTTTCCATATAGAAGGTGGACACACACCCTAGCTTGTATACTGTGTCACCTGCCACCATGGACTTTTTTTTTGTTGCTTTCATTTCTATCTCATGAACAGGATTTTAATAACTTTTTCACTACTTCACTTTTCTCAAAATCATATAATCACCAGATTTGCACAAATTAGTATTTCCAAATGTGTATTAGGAGCACAGTGTTTCGTGAGTATTAATTCTGTGTGTTTGCACTCTACACAGCTTGTATGTGATTCATCTAATTGAAGGCAAATCTTCAGATATCTTATTTCAATCTATAAAGGGTGTGGGTTTAATACAATTTGACAACAGAAGTTAAAACCCATATTGCTGTGGATCATTGTAGCAGTTCTGTTGTATTCTGAGCATACCGTAGCTTTAGTAATACTCTTTTCTCTGGTGACTTGGATGAAAGGAGCTCAAATGGTGCTGAGACCAATAATAAAACTAATGTTTCAATAGCATGTGCCACAGCTTTTGCTATCATTAATGCTGGAAGCCTTTCTATCAGGGAAGCAATGACAGTATCCAATGCCAGATAAAATATGGCAGGAGATCTACATTTAGGTAATGAAAAAGATTTAGATGATAGTGAAGTTTTACCTCTTCATCTATCTGAAATAAGTCCTGAATCTTATATTAGCAAGTGCACACAGTATACCTATAAGCATCAAAAGAGTGAATGTCAACATTAATGTGTCCTGAACAAAGAGAGTCTGTGAACCTCTAGAAAAGAGAAAAATATGGTTTTGTATTTGCTGTTCAAATATGAAAGTGTCAAGGTATCCACCATCCAAATGGACATCATTCTGGGAGGTAAAAGATACTGTAAACTACACTGGAATATCTGAGTGCTATCAAAATCCAGGTTTATTGTATTCCATCAGCATAGTTTGGGAATGACAGCAGGAGGTATTGTTACCACAATTTCTTTGTTGGGGCTATATGTCTTATTTTACACTTAGATAAATATTATACGTGCTGTATTTTTAAAAGTACTATCACCTTAATATCTCTTCACCCTTTTAGACACTGCTTATACCTCTTAATGCTTGTAGACCTGTATACCTGTTAAAACCATAAAATATTTATAAGTTTAAGGATGACTGTGTTTTTTCTCACATTTGCATTATTTCATGTATGTACAGGGCAAGTACATACATCATATGATAATGTAGCAGTCATAAAATATCATTAATAGTGCATATAAGAAATTTGTGGAAGCACTCTCTTAAGGTAGTGTATACTTGCAATACCAATTTCATGGGGAGGCTGAGGCAGAAAGATCAAGAGTTAGATGTTGACCTGGGCTTTTTAGTGAGACTCTCTCAAAATGGAAAGCTTGCCTCCCGGGCACAAGGCTTTGTTTCATTCCATATCATTCACACGTAGGAATGGAAGTCAACAAAGGAAAATTGTATTGATATAAAATATAAACATGCATTTCAAAGGATATGAAAATAAAAAAGGAAAACAGTTTATTTGGTATCCTAACATGGAAGCCCAAATGGAATATGGACAGACCACAATTAAAACGAGAAGGTAGAAATATATGGAAAGTTTTAAATCAACCAAAACAAGTAAAACAAATAGAAATCTTTAGAAATGTGCTAGATATCCATCTGTGTCAATAGTCCCTTTAAATCTGAATTATATAAATACAACAAAGAAAATACATAGTAGATTATAAGCCATGATCAAATCTTGTGCTGTGTACAAGACAACCATTTGAAACAAGGACAGTGTGGATGAGTGGAGTTTTTGGTCAACAGATAAAAATTTCATTTTCTTAGGAATAAGTTGAAGAAATGTATTGGATAACATGGTGAGTAGAGTTAAAATGTGTTGTACTCCTTCAGATCACTAATGGAGTAGATATTATGTATTCTCACCTTCAGACATTAGTGAGGTAATCCATATAAACTCCATTTGGCCAGGCAATATGTATGAACATTTCAAAATGCGCTTTATATT